TTATAGTTATGGTGTTTATTTACATTATTTTATTTTTATTACTTTAATTTGATTTAAATTAAAGAATATCAGAAATATGACTGAACATACCTTCATTTCATATCTATTACCGGAACAATGATATCCATTGCTGGCATCTTCTCCATTGATTAAGAGATTCAATAAAACACTATCTTTAAGGGTTATCTGACCACCTAAATATTAAGAAAATTAAATTTCAACTTAAATTTTGTAATAAAAGATTTTTTATAGTGAAAAATTCACATGAAATAATTAATAGACTTCAAATGCTTTATTAAAATCATTGTAGTAAAGGCTCTATGCCTTCATAAAGGACGTACTTTTCCTTTGTTTAAGGGTATTTGGGCAGTTTATTCTCTGTTATATTCTCAAGTAAACAATACATACAAGTACAGTACAGTATTTTCTGAGGAAACACTCGTACTTATTTTTTTTAACCCCATTCCCGATAACCCGGCATTTTCACAAACTCNCCGTCTTCTTGCGCCACCAGAGGGCCTTTTAAACAATAGGTAGTCTGTTAGCATTGGTCAGTATTAGTCCAAATTCAATACGAACATTTGTTTCTTGAAAATTTGATCACGATTTACTTTTAATAATACCGATATGTCGTCGAAAAGAAAACGTGTTGTTTTATCATTAAAAGACAAATTAAAGTATTTGTTTCAATTATCCGGATTTTTCCTTATCCGGACTACCTTCATCCCCAATTAGTCCGGATAATCGAGGTTTTACTGTATTTGGAATGATGGGATTTATAAAATTTATGATCTTTCTAAATAGTATTTAATTCATTTTGAAGCTAATTTTCTTATAGCTAATATTAATTTTAAAATGTTCTAACAATTTACATTATTTTATTTTTATTACTTTAATTTGATTTAAATTAAAGAATATCAGAAATATGACTGAACATACCTTCATTTCATATCTATTACCGGAACAATGATATCCATTGCTGGCATCTTCTCCATTGATTAAGAGATTCAATAAAACACTATCTTTAAGGGTTATCTGACCACCTAAATATTAAGAAAATTAAATTTCAACTTAAATTTTGTAATAAAAGATTTTTTATAGTGAAAAATTCACATGAAATAATTAATAGACTTCAAATGCTTTATTAAAATCATTAAGCAGTTAAAATTACAGCACAAATGCTTTTGCTACAAATTCCTCTCTATCTGAATTTATATATAAATTATTAAATACTAAAATAATAAATTTCATAGATTTTAAATTAAAACACCTGGATAAAAACAATTTCATATTTCAAAAACTAAATTTCTAATACTTTTTAAGTTTAAAAAAAAAAATTATATATTTACATTTTTGATATATTGAATTTTATTAGATAATAAATTTATTTAAACTGAAAGAAATAAAAATAAATAATTATGTCACTATATTAGTATTTAGCAGCATTCTAGCCTTTCAGAAAATAAGCTATGCTCTATTCTTTTTATTTTTTAACATAAAAATATTATATTGAAAGACATCTACTCTTGTAATATTTACTTTTTACAAATAATATAATATTTATAAAATGTGATAATGTATTTTCTTATTTTTTGTAATTATTTGAGTATTTTGATAATGGACAGAAATCATTTTGCCAAATCACCATTGCTTATACTTTGAAAATAGACAAATAATGATTTAAAATCTTTTTTAGATAGACAACTTCATAAAATAAGAACAGGGAATTAAAATTTATGACTTGATAGTAAAGATTTTGCCTGTATGACATGGAGGACATTTTCATGCTTCCAGTTTTTCTTATGCCATTTATCATGTCCTTTGGCAATATTTTTTAAATAAAAATGGCTGCCAAAAGACATCACACAATTGAAAAATTCACTAACACCTTTATACATTCTGAATTTAACAGTATAATTAATGGGTTGTGCACTAGGTAAGTTTTTTATTATGCTCAAAACAGCAGATAAAAAAATAGAATATGTGTTTCATGACTTTCTATTATATTTTTTTGATTATAAATGATCAGAATAATATTAATTATAATATTTGCTGTAACATATCAATAACAAGATATTTTAAAAACTATACATAAAAATTTTACATCATATAACCAGGGTGGCCAAGCTCCTTGATAGTCCGAGCCATTTTTCAAAATTTGAAATTTTTCGCGAGCCTCAATTAAATACGTGTTAAAAAGGTATGCAAAAAATTCCAGATTACAAATTATATCCGTAGCAAGAGTTTCCTCCAGAGCACAATGTCAACTGTCCATTGCAATGACAGTTTACAAATTCAAAATTGGTCTGGAGTCGGTCAATAATGGACGATTACGCCACTGTTTATGTTCGTTCGCGCAGTTTTCGATGAGTCATATCGTTCTTAACTTGGACGGAAATGAAATTTGTTACAACGTTGCACTTAGTCTTTCATATTTGTTGTTAGTAATTTAAAACACATTTTGAAACACATACGGAACGATAATAATTTTTAAAAATATAATACCACAAAAATGAAAAGGGAACTCGGGTACATTTATCGAGAGCCATAAATAATCCTTCAAAGAGCCGCATGTGGCTCGCGAGCCGCAGGTTGGCCACCCTGTCATATAATCTTTATTCATATACCATTTAGTCCCTAAATATTTAAATAAAAAAATATTTTACTCTTAACTTATTGTTACAAATATTTGCTTTATTAGTCTTTAATTATCTATTATTTTAGAATTAAACTAAAATCAATTTACTTTAAGGGCAGCTTTTATGAGTTTTAATCTCAAGATTAAAAATACTTTAATCTACATCAGTGTTTCTCAACAGGGGTGATATCACCCCCATGTGGGTGTTTTTCCATATTGAGGGGGTGATTAGTAACAATTTATATTTTGGGGAGGTGAAAAACAATTTTCTGGGCAATATAGTAAAACATTATATTAAGAATAATTAGATATTTTATTTGTTATATTGTACAATAATTAAACAAATAACATTATACTAGTCACTAGTCTATTCAATACAGTACAAATTTGGCATTAGTCTTGGTCCTTGGCATCGGAATTTTGAAGTGAAGGAGGCAATACTATGTTGAAGGGGGCGATGATTCGTTATAGGTTGAGAAACACTAATCTACATGATTACACTCGACACATTGCACGAATGTAAATCTTTGGGATAAACTGCTGAGTAAGTTAATCAACCAATTTTGGATAGTTAAAATTTATTCTATATATTAGTGAGGAAATAAGATGGCCAACCATCCCAATTCTGATGTGAAAAATCTTTATTTAGAATATTTAAAATACATTTATCTTAATATTGGCAAAAAATTTTAAAGAAAGATCAGATCTTATAATGTTGTAAAAGTGAATTTTACTTTATAATGTAAAATTATTAATTATTTTAATATAAAGTAGTTATATCAAAATATTACAGACAGAATCCACCAAATTTCCTAATTTATATTGTTATACATATTCCAATCCTTCTCATGCTTTTGCTTACTCATTTTTTGCTCCTTTGTCTTATTATTGCTCTCAGTAAATCAACTGTGCAGTAAGAATTTTTCAGCTAACTGGCTGATAGCTATCTGACAAGTTTAAGAAACAATGAGCATAGCTTATTCTTTAGATTAGGACAAGGTCAAATTTATTCCACAGGTAGTAACTTATATTCTGTAGTTTATATGGTAACTTGTGCAACTGGCAATTATTGTTTTAATGATCACAAAATCTTAAAGTTTAATAATAGTAGTTGATTTTAAATTTACTAATAACTTAAGTGGTAAAATTCAACATTTTACATAAATATTTTTTAAATTGGATGACTTATTTTTGAGGCAGTATATATATTATACTATAATATATGGTAAATTTAATTTCAAAATTAAATGTAATTAATAAAGTTTTATCTATTTTAGATGAATACTTGTGTGTGTTTCTTAACTAATTTGCAAAATTAATAAGAAAAGAATCGTAATTGATAGTTTACTTCATAATAGAATTGGGAATTTACTTAATAACATAATTTTAAGTGAAATGAATAAGTAATCTTACCAGGACGAAAAAGCCCACTTTCAATCCTCATTCTCTTTGGGCTGTCTGGTGGTCCAGATAAATTACAATTGCTACGTTTTGGAGGTGGATCTGGCGGCGAAGGGAATGGTTGTTTTTGTTCAATGGGTCCAGTTGCAATACCTGTTCCATGAGTTGGTAATTTAGATGTGCCATTTACTGATTTTTGTGATGTCATGCTTAACGATTTAATGGAACGAGAATGTAATGAATCACCATTAGTTGTAACACCATTTTGCTGTCTTCCTGCATCACTGTTTTTATTATAATGCCGATTTACAGGAAGATCTTTTCTATTTGGTCTGTCATCAAGAACAACAATTCGTCCACCACTTTCAAATCCCCGTCTTACAGGCAAATAATTATTAGTGTTATTTTTATTTCCTGGTTTCCCTCCTCCTTTATCAGATGATACTTGGTGCCACCTATTATTTTTCTCATTGTATTTCTGTTTTTCAGAAACTGAATGGTTTGTGCGTTCTTTCCGAACATCAGATTGTAAGAGAGCTGCTAAACTTGATTTAGCAATTGTTGAAGGCAGTGAATTTGATAACAAATGTGAATCCTCCATTCTGATAGGACTTTAAAAAAAAAATTCAAAATTATATTTTACCTCTAAAAGTGTTTTTAACATAAAATATTACATTTATTTTAAATTTTAAAAATAATTTTAAAGTTATACTTCTATTAAAGAATACACATTGTAAAGAAAATTTTGATTTTAGATTATTTAAAAACTCATATTTATAATGTATTTATAATGTTTACATAATATATATAAACATTAGCAATATGATTACTTTGAATTAATATTAAATTTTAATGATTCACAAAAAATTATAGTTACAATTTAACAAATTAAATATTAGTAACTTTAAATATCTATAATACCAAATTAGTTAACAAATAGTAATATATTTAATTTAGTTACATTTAGAAAATTTGAAAAAGCAAATATCTTATAGAAAGATATGAACTTAAAAATATTGTCTGATACAAAAACATAACAGCTATACTATCTAAACATTCTCAGTTGAAATAGTATATTACAATAAGAATTATTTATTTCCATCAAACCAATCACTATGTTAACAGGCATGAGTTTGGCAACAGAGCTTAAATTACATTTTAAATTATTATGTTCAAATATTTTTTCATAAAATCGATAATCCAATATTAAAACAAAATTTATTAAATGCACTTCAGAGGCTTCCTCAGTAAGGTGGAATACATTTTACTGATAAAATCACCAATATTAGAGAAAGCAAAAGTTCTAACACAGTAAATTAATAATATTTTAATACTGTATTACAGTATTAATTTTATGAAATAGTGTTTGATTATTATTGATTACTTTCAATGAGATTTAGAAATTACATGTTTCATTCTAGACTATTATTTTTCCAAACATATCTGAATTTAAATTAATAACATGTAAAACAACCCAATTCAATTAGTATTGTCAAATGATTCAATATTTATATCTGAAATGCCACATCACCAAATCATTAATTAACCAAATTATAGCTCATTTTTGAGTAACTATTAAATATTTAACAATCTGTTTTGAGATAATATGCATAAACTTTCAAACTCTGAAAACAACTTTTTACATATATATCTAAATATATAAAATTGTTTGTCCTGACTGACTGACTCACTCACTCAATGATTCATCATCGCCCAGAGCAGACTGCTTAACCTAAAGAGGTGAAATTTGGTAGACAGTTAGGGTATGTCATGGAAACGCACACTAAGAAGGAATTTTTCAAAATTCCCCCGCGGGGGGAGAGGGATAGCATTAAGGCTTAACCAGAAGAATGGCTTCTACTGCACTATTTTAGATGCAATTTTTTGTTTTTATCTGCGTTGTGGTAGGGTATGCCATGGCAATGCACACTAAGAAGAAAATTTTCGAAATTCCCTCGTGGGCAGGAGAGGGAGAGGATTTAGTCTTCATCGCGTACTTAGGTGTATTAAATTAATAACATTTCAGACATTGTTATAAATATTTTTATCTATTTCAATTTTAAAAATGGTCAAACCGTTTTAAATTCGAATTTGTTATTGCGTATTGGTTCGATTATAGAACAATTGTAAACGTTCCAGAAAATTGATCAAATTAAAAATAGTTCGTTTGATTCTCGGCAATTCTCATCATTCTCAGCGGTAGGTGTTATATAACAATTACTATGGTTGTTGAAATACTGAATATAAATGGGGTTTGCTTGCAAAAGCCACGAGTAACAGCTATTATGTATATATATATAAACATCTAAGCCTAATTAATTATGGCAATCGTTTAGCTTTAGAACAACATTTTATGTATCAGAAAAATAAATTTAAAATTTTACCTGTGGTTTAGTGAATGTCTAATAGGACTACTACTTGGAGAATCTTGTGGTCCCCACATTACAGAATTAGAAGGACTTAATAATGGAAAATCATCTGAACTCATTGACATATATGTCCCTCTCATATGCATATCAAAATCATCCTAAACAAATATAATATCATCATACAATTAGTAAACATAATATTTTATTTTTAAATAAATACATTATGAAGATCCATATATAAACATCTTATACAGCTTTTAATCATCACAAGAAACTGAATTAAAGCTTAATATATCTATTTAAAACTTTATGGGTCTACATAAAACAAATATTTATTACATTAATTAAATTATTAAATAATAATTTTAATAAAAATTTTAACTAATAACAATGCTTAGTTAATATTTTTGTATTAAATAAGCATATTATATTGTCAGTGGTTCAAATATATTCAAAACAATACAATAAATGTAGAATAATTTAAGTTAAACATATTTATTTATTAATTTCTTTTGTAAGAGATAAAACTTCGGAAATTAGTCATTATTTAGATTTTTTTATAGCTAACTTTTGTACAATTAGTACTAATTACAATTTTATTTCTCATTTATCAAAAAATATTGAGAAATTTTAAATAAATTGTAAAATGATATAATATTAAAAATCTTGATAAAATTTCTCAATTTAAGTTATAGTTTAATTAGACTAATAAATTACTTATATATGTAACCTTTTAAAAACATTTAAATTAAAAATAAAACTAAAAATTTTATCTTTTGAAAAATGATAATACAGTATTATTTAAATAATCATAAAATTATTTAAATTCTAATATTATATAATTTCTGGTTAATTTAACATAATTATTCTTCTAAAGAAAGAGTTGAAAATTTTAATTTTGAAACAATACAATAATTTAAAAATATATCAAAATTCTTGCATCTGAAAACAAGTGTAACATGAAAAATTATATATAATTTTGTATTTTCATTTTTTTTCCTAAAGTTATTTCTATATTAGTAATGGAATAGCTGATAATGGCTTTCCAAGAACACCAGACAATACACAGACTACTAAACTTAAAAATTTTATTTTATTCCCTACAAATGTATTTTGACTATAAAGCCCTCATTTGGCCACTTTAGCTAAAGAATTTGTAATATTTTTAATTCTACACTAATTATGGAAATAAATATAGATTGTGAATTAATTTTATTATATAAATTAATTTATGATAAGATCCAAGGACAGATATATAATTAAAAATTCTGTATAATAGTAGAACACTCAAAAAGATTAACAGTGTGTCTTCATAACCTGTTATTTTTTCACCCAACTCAGGAATTTATCATATACTTTTACATTATGCTACCACCAGAGAAACAATTTTAACAAATTTTACATACTGAAGTAGAAAAGAGCTTCAAATTAAAAATCAACTCTGCTGTGTGACTTTTTGTGTTTCTGAGGTGAGTTCACTTGGTTTAAAATTAATTTTTAAAGTTATAATTTAAAAAGTTAATTTTATGGATATTACTTCTGTAATGTATTTTCTTAGTTTATTCTTTTATTAGTCAAACATTTTTAACTTATTGTTCAGTATATTAAGTGAATATTTTTATTTATTCTTAATTTTATATATATTTTTCCTAAACTAATCTTTTATGTATTTAAAAACTAAAATTAAAAATAACAGTTAGGTAAAACTCTTGACCACAACAAAATTTGTCTAAAAATTTTAAAATAATTACAAAATAACTATGTATTCTCAATTAACATTTTAGTAATTAACTCAAGTTAGTTTTATAAAATTACAATTTTTATTTCTACAAAATTTTAAAATAACAATATAATTAAAACAGAATTATAGTGTAAATAAAATAAAATTTTATGTAATTATATTGAAATTTTGCAAATGTACTTATTTGCAAAATTTAAGCAGATTCAAAATTCCAACTGGTATCAATGTTTTAAAATAATTATTTTTGAAAGCTTCATTATTCAGTTTTATTGTTTGTTATCAATATTATGCTATATAAATATCATCATTATTATGTTAAATTAATATGATTACTTTAACATAATGTTAAAATAATGTTTAAATTCAATATATCTTCAGTTAATTAAAATGTATCTTAGTCTGAAAAATGAATATATATTGTGTAACTTCTAATATTAAAATTGTTAGTTTCATACATTTTAATAACTTCCATTTCCTTAACAGATTATATGTTATACAGTAATTAAGTCATAATAAGTGCTTATACAAATTTAAATCAATGGATTATTTTTGGGCTACATTTTAAGTTAATTAAATAACATAATTTGGCTTACAAAGATAAGCCAAATATAACACACTATTAATAATTAATCTTAGCACAACATTGCTAGGCTCACCATCCACATTGTGTAATTAACTTAAGATACAGCATTAAAATAATCTGGAAAGTTAGACTTCTGACTGACTATAGAATTTGAGCTTATCTTCTATCATTTATTTTTATACAAACAAAGTCATTTGCTAAATTAATATACTGTATGTAGGTTTAATCTAATTAATTAAATAAAAAGTTAAATAAATAATTAAATCATCTTACCCCTAATGATAAATCATTTTTTCCACTTGAGATGATTGCTGAACTATCAAGTTTAAGATCAAGNGCAGATTCAAAATTCCAACTGGTATCAATGTTTTAAAATAATTATTTTTGAAAGCTTCATTATTCAGTTTTATTGTTTGTTATCAATATTATGCTATATAAATATCATCATTATTATGTTAAATTAATATGATTACTTTAACATAATGTTAAAATAATGTTTAAATTCAATATATCTTCAGTTAATTAAAATGTATCTTAGTCTGAAAAATGAATATATATTGTGTAACTTCTAATATTAAAATTGTTAGTTTCATACATTTTAATAACTTCCATTTCCTTAACAGATTATATGTTATACAGTAATTAAGTCATAATAAGTGCTTATACAAATTTAAATCAATGGATTATTTTTGGGCTACATTTTAAGTTAATTAAATAACATAATTTGGCTTATAAAGATAAGCGAAATATAACACACTATTAATAATTAATCTTAGCACAACATTGCTAGGCTCACCATCCACATTGTGTAATTAACTTAAGATACAGCATTAAAATAATCTGGAAAGTTAGACTTCTGACTGACTATAGAATTTGAGCTTATCTTCTATCATTTATTTTTATACAAACAAAGTCATTTGCTAAATTAATATACTGTATGTAGGTTTAATCTAATTAATTAAATAAAAAGTTAAATAAATAATTAAATCATCTTACCCCTAATGATAAATCATTTTTTCCACTTGAGATGATTGCTGAACTATCAAGTTTAAGATCAAGATTTGCAAATCTATCTACAGGACTCTCTAAACTTGGCAAATCAGGGGTATTTGATTTACTACTTTGCAGATCAGTTATGCTGCCACTCTAAAAATATGGACATATATTAAATACATTCTAACTATGAAAAAAAAGAAAGGGTTTATAAATGTATGAATTAGTTTAATATAAAGATATAAAACAACTGAATAAAGAATGTAGTTTGGTAATACTAGAAATCTAAATCAACATGTATTTTCATATAATTAATGCACTGCTGATGATGCAAACTACATTGTGATGATTAGCAGAATTTTCATTTCAAAATTCTGCCTATCATTGTCGGACAACATATGTAATTACTATAAAAATATATTTACAATTTTGACTTCGAAATAGATATGTTTAATTCTGATAGAATTAAGTTACAGTATAATTGTAGGTGTAATAAAAATTAATTGTTAACTGTTAAGCTCTTATTATAATAGATAAAGCTTTTCAATTGTTTCGATGTAAAAGAAAGATAATATTTAAACTGAATGATTAAATTTCATCTTCATAAATTTTCTAATTATTGATAAATGTTCACTTTATATTTACATTACACATAAAATTTAATAAATTCTTTAAGAAAAGAAAGAATTCCATTAAAAATTTAATGATTTTAATTTCATAAAATACTCAAATTATACATTTTACTTTCAATTACTAGGAAAAAAAAATTTTAATTTTTGTATTAATGATTTTATTAGAAATACTTTAATTAAAATTTTACATAAATCTTTTAACATGTTTAAATAAATATGAATATTGCAGAGTAATAAAAGAATAAAATAAGACTAAGTTTGTGGTTAGATAGACTCTCTGTCAAGATAAACATTTATTAAAATACAAAAGTGCTTTCAGAGTGTATTTATTTATTTAAATTTGTGTTAGTTCCAAAAAACAGAATTTTTTGTCCAATTTGTTTAATTAAAATTGTAATACCAAATGAACAGCGAGATTCTTTATTGGACTATAAGATTAAATAATTACCAAGCAATTTAGCAGGAGGCAAGCTGCCTTAAAGCCTGATAAAGAATCAGGCTGTTCATTTGGTATTTGAAATAATTATTGAGCAAGTTGTATTTATTATATATATGTTTATTGTAATATTTATCAGTCAAAACTTTTGTAATTATAAAATTAAATTATAAAAGACTTTGAAATTAATTTTACATTACTACTAAAAAATAAGAATCTTATTTTAAGTAATGATTATTATAATATTAATTTATAAACAAAAATGAATAAAATACCTTTGATAATGACAAATCTGATGATGTACCACAAGAATCTGGTGATGATAGAGAATCCTCTCTGTAACTAAGAAATGGATCATTAGTTAAAGGACTACTTAAATTACTACTATTATTGCTTCCCACAGAGAAACAGGGATCATCAGAAAGCAATCCATAATCTGGAGTGAGTTTGCAATCACCATAAGCTTCAGAAAACAGCACATCATTAAGCATATCTGGAAAAATTAGAAACACTGTTAATTATTATTTGGAAAAGAATATTAGTTTTAAAATTATAAGCTGTAACTTACAATGTGTAACAAACTAATAAAATTAATATTAAACTAAAAACATAAAATATTTTATTAATAAATATAGAATTTAATTTCCGTAATTGTTGAACAGTGAAACAGTTCAACAATTGAGTGAAGCTGATTGATATTCAACAATTATAAATTAATGAATTTATATAAATGTTATGATTAATCCCAGTGGAAATAATACTTTGTTTGACATCTTTCAATTAATATAGAAAAATTAAACATTTTAAAATTTTCAAGGAAGTTGCAATTACACTTTATTTTTAAAGTATATAATATATTTTCTTAATAGTTAAGTTTGATTACATATAAATCAATTTTTTAATACTTGAAAAAGTTTTTAAAAATAATTTTATTAGAATTTACAAATATACTTTTCAATAAAACTATTATATAATATTCATTAATTTATTTTATAAGAATTACTTTAAATTCTTATAAAATAAATTAAATTAATGAATATTATATAATAGTTTCATTGAAAAGTATATTTGTAAATTCTAATTCTAATTCTAAATTCTAATAAAATAATAAAATTATTTTATTAAAATTTACAAATATATTTGATTTTAATGAAAAATTTTATAGCATGAATATTTTAGATTATATAATTATTTCAATTTTACTTCTGATCATTAAAATTATTTGAATTAAGTTAATTATAAAAAAATCATTCTTATTTCTGTAGTATAAAAATTTGTTAGACTAGTTATGTATAAGAAAATGATAAAATAATTAAAACTGTAAAAATACAATCATAGTTTTGATAATTAGATGGATTTTAAAAAAAGTTATAAATTTATTGATAACATTTTTATAATTATATATAAAATCATCCTGACTTAAACAAATAGTAACACTGGATTTGAATTGAGTTACAATATGGTTAATCAATCATAAAAATATTACATGATATTGGACAAAAAACAGTCCAACCTTGTATTAAATTTAATAATTGAAAATAAAAAAATTAATTTAGAGTATTCTGAAAGAAAAGATCAATCTGTAGTAAGACTCAAATCCACAACTCTTGCTTACCAATATAGATGCTTAATCCGTGCACATTACAGACTTTTTGATTAGCAGATAGTTTGATCAGTCTTTAAATTACATGAAAACATATGCAAGTGCGCACACTCAAGCAATTTGAAATTGGCCGATAATAAAGTTTAATGGCAGTACAATTCCTTTCAAACTCGATAGTTGGCAATAGTGCTGATAGCATAGTCTGCCATACTGTTTAAAGTATGGCGGACTATGCTAGCGCGCAGACTTTTAACTTTTAGACTATTTAGTTGGTTCTATCCTCTTTTGATATGGCTGGTCCAATTAATTTAACAAGCTCATTAAAACTTGTTATGCTCATTCTATAAAAAGTGAAAAACTTTTTTGGATAGTCTAGTAGTTTAGAATGCAGTGTGTAAAATTTCCCTCACAATAACCTATCACTGTATATTGGATGTACCCAATATTCTCAGCTTATTTTCTTAATAATATTTCTCCTTTGTTTTATAAGAGCAATAATAGCAGCTCTTCTCCACATTTCTGTTGAAACACAAGCGTTCAATCCAAGTTCAGTTTATCGACTAAAGCAATCAAATGACTGACTATTGGCCAGTCTGTGTGTCCACCACTAACCAAACAGTTTAGTTGTAGCAGTGTGCGAGAATGCATTACAATTCAACTAAACTATGATAGTTTAGTCTGTAGTGTGCACGGGCTCTTAGCCATATTATAGACTGATTAAAATCCAGGTGGCATTTTTTGTTTATTAGAATTTTTATGTTAAAAATTACTAAAAACATTGTAAAATTTTAAAGTTTATTTAATTTTTATAGACATCAATATTTTGCTTGCTTAATGCAAAGCAAATTATTCATATATCAATACAAAAATTAAAATAATTTTAAAAAGGTGTATCAAACAAGAGCTATCATAAATCTGTAGTTTAAAAATACAATATTGATACATGAATAAAATTTATATTTTTATAATTATAAATAAGAAAATGAAGTATAAATTAACATGTTTTTAGATTTATTAACTTATTTATTTGTTAAAAATTATGTAATTTTAAAAATACACATAACCTATTTTCATTAACTAACTCTTTACATGATTTCAAAGTTTACACATTGTTTTATGAACTTTTAAGTCAGGAGAATGGATTCCAACTTTAGTATATAACAAGCAGCACACCACCTTTCTCACTTAAAATAGTGTAAGATTGAAAAATAAAAATATTAACTATTAATAAATTAACAATGTTTAATATAACAGCAGTTAGTCGTTTACTTTTTTGCAATGTAAAGATGGTATTTTGTTTTCTGATGTTTTAACGGATTAAAAAATATTAATATCGAAATGTTAATTGGTCAGTTTTGATTTATGGCTGGAGAGAAAAACGATAATGGCAACCATCCAGGTATGATTAATAATTCTAAATATAATAATATTCAGTAAATGATGCTAATATTAGGAAGGAGAAGTACAATAAACATTCTTATTAACAATGTAAAAACACGTAAATACATACTAAAAACCTTCTTTACTCGCCATGTCCAATCATCAGGAACAAACTATTCTCTACAGCAGAGACGACCTTTCTTTAAAGGCTACGCCTCTGCCAAATTATGTAAAACAGTCTAAAATGTCCATAGGCGAGTAAAGAAGATATTTTTAGTATCTGTTTACGTGTTTTTACATTGTTAATACTGTATTTATGCCAGCCCTATTTTACATACAACACAATAAACACTCCTTAAATACAGAAACAAAATTATAACATGGTAATTAAATGCGCTTTAAAAAGTTCACATTTGAATAAAATTCAATAAATAATTTATTCTTGTTGAATTCAACGCATTTCTCTAGATATCCTCATAAACACATTTCACGGACAGCCGGATGTCCGAGCGATCAAAATGGCAGTCTACTTACTGCTCTGGAAATTCGTTCCTCATCACCCGGCCGCCTATTGCGGGTCTTGTCGAACCCATAATGGGTTTGCTAAAAGAACTTCTCTTAGTGCCCATAGGATAGAAAGAGTAAAAAAAACCAAAAAAAAAAACAAATTNTATAATTTAAAATATTAAAAGTTTATCCTTATTTTTCTATGAAAAATGAAGATTAATACTAATAGATAAAAATTATCACGCATGTAAAGACAATTCTAATTGTAAGTTCTTATATTCTCTAAGTTAACATATTAGTTTTATAAAAATTTTTTAATATTTATCTGAAGAAATATTTGCATTTTAATGAGAGAACATTATTACTTTTTTAAAATTTTCTACTTCTCTGCTTTTTTTAAAAAAGTGTATCATTACATTTGCTCGTTAATTCTCTTATAATTAAACTTTTTGTTCAAAAAATTTCAGAATTTATAATTTTCTTATTTCTTTGTTAAGATTACATGAGTATATAATTTTTATCCATTATAATTGAATTATTATGCTTATATGTAATGATATATATATTATCTAATAACTAAAACCAACAAACATTCATTTTTATATTAATGATATATATATCCTTATGATATAACGATATATATATATCATTAATAGAAAAATGAATGTTTGTCGGTAGAAGTAGAAAGTACAATTTCATTAAATATCTTAATGAAATATGAAAAAAATCATGCTCTAACATGAATAATGCTAATAGCAAAAGATTTTAAAGCATGATTCTGTTTTAATACTAAGTAAACTGTTGAATATTATTCAAACAAAAGGAGTTTATCTACATAATTTTAAAAACATTACTACTACTTTAATATGTTAATTTGAATTATCAAAATTCTGTTTTGATAATTTAAATTATCAAAACAAAATTTTGTTTTGTCAAAACACTCTTGTTTTAAACAGAATTTAAATTCTGTTTAAAACAAGTGTGAGTTAATAAAATAGTTTTATAACATATCTGACTTAAACCTTACCTGTCAAACCACTCTTATCATCTATAAATGTGAGAAAACCTTTATTCATGTCTGCAGTACGAGGAGCAAAAATACTTTTGGTGCTGATTTGAGGCCCGGAAGATACGTTAGTGGTGGGTTGGACAGTTACTTTCTGTTCTTGGCACTTTACTTGTTCCGTAGATACAATTTCATCTTTATTTACTGTGCCACTGAAATCAGATAATATTTTGTTTTAGATGCATTGTAATTAAAGAAAATATCTCAACTAAAAAATTTTTCTAAATAAATACTTTAGAAACCTGTTCTATACTTTAAAAAGTAATTTTTTCTTATATTAGAAAAAAAAAACTAGGTCAAACTAAAAATATAAATTTAAAAAACATTAGAAATATATTTTTTAAAATGTTATATAATTATTAAAAATACACAGACAATTGTTCTTATCATTTATTTTACCATTCAAATATTTTTGCTGTTTCATTCTTGTGCCAGATCATAATTCAAGCTAATACAATGCTCCATCACAATAGTTAACCAAATTCTTGACTAAGCATATTCTTATGACATAACTGACAAAGATAGTGTATGTGCAATGAATCAATAAATGTAATTGCTATCATTAAAATAGAATGCTTATTTGAAATTAGTGTGAAAGTTTTTATTTAATAAAATTAGCAAAATTATATCACATTATTATGAATAANACTAATTATTTAATATGTTAATTTGAATTATCAAAATTCTGTTTTGATAATTTAAATTATCAAAACAAAATTTTGTTTTGTCAAAACACTCTTGTTTTAAACAGAATTTAAATTCTGTTTAAAACAAGTGTGAGTTAATAAAATAGTTTTATAACATATCTGACTTAAACCTTACCTGTCAAACCACTCTTATCATCTATAAATGTGAGAAAACCTTTATTCATGTCTGCAGTACGAGGAGCAAAAATACTTTTGGTGCTGATTTGAGGCCCGGAAGATACGTTAGTGGTGGGTTGGACAGTTACTTTCTGTTCTTGGCACTTTACTTGTTCCGTAGATACAATTTCATCTTTATTTACTGTGCCACTGAAATCAGATAATATTTTGTTTTAGATGCATTGTAATTAAAGAAAATATCTCAACTAAAAAATTTTTCTAAATAAATACTTTAGAAACCTGTTCTATACTTTAAAAAGTAATTTTTTCTTATATTAGAAAAAAAAAACTAGGTCAAACTAAAAATATAAATTTAAAAAACATTAGAAATATATTTTTTAAAATGTTATATAATTATTAAAAATACACAGACAATTGTTCTTATCATTTATTTTACCATTCAAATATTTTTGCTGTTTCATTCTTGTGCCAGATCATAATTCAAGCTAATACAATGCTCCATCACAATAGTTAACCAAATTCTTGACTAAGCATATTCTTATGACATAACTGACAAAGATAGTGTATGTGCAATGAATCAATAAATGTAATTGCTATCATTAAAATAGAATGCTTATTTGAAATTAGTGTGAAAGTTTTTATTTAATAAAATTAGCAAAATTATATCTTTTCTAATTTGTATTTCTCTTTTAATTAAAAGTATAAAAAAATAAAAGCCTGTTTAACTATAACTATTAATTTATTATTATTTTTTAATTTTTCCAATACAAAATCTATTTTGATAAATTAAGTGTAGATACTAATAATATTATTAGTTTAATTAATATTAGTGTAGATACTATTAATGTAGATACTAGTATAATGTAGATAAAGTGTAGATACTATTAATATTATTATTTAGCTTATATTAAGTTAAAATTACTTAATTATGGAAAAGTAAATACAATCTATAACAAGAACTGCTTTGCATTCAATGTTTTATTAAAATAAGATTTTACATTATTCTATGTAATATAAAGCAGAATAAAATTCTTAGATCTCTTAACTACCTTAAAACAAAAAAATTTAAATATTGTACTAAATTTTATAAATATACAAATTTTTTTAATCACCACAGAAGCTGAACTTATGGACTTTATCTATAAACTTATAACTTTTGTACATTTAATACAAAAAATACATTTTTGTACATCTACTAAAGTATATTTAAGTATACTGTATTTAATAGATAACATTATTTTTTTTCTCATGTCTTTTCATGATATATATATTAGTGTAAGAGTAATCATCATAATTAAATAAATGCCATATTATAACATAAAATGAAGATATTGTAAAAATTCTCACTCACTTGATAAATGTTCAAAGTTAAGCAAAGTGCTTTTAAATACTAGAATTTTCTTTTGAAGGTATTGTAGTTGAATGATGTAACTTGTTATAAGTTTGAACAATATTGATTACATCATTGCTGGTTAGACAACAAAAATGTAAAATTACTTTGAATTATGTATTGCCTGTTACTCCATTAATTTATTAAATTACTATATTCAGATGATTGATATAAGCATATTATGATTTGTGTAATTCTTTAAAATTTTTGTATGAAGAAAAAAGACTTCATTTTCAAATCATACATTAAAAAATATTTTAAATATCTTTAGATATAATATTGTTATTATTTTGTTTATATAATAAAAAATACAAACAACTTGATATTTATTGTTCTATTTATTATATAATTTAAAATATTAAAAGTTTATCCTTATTTTTCTATGAAAAATGAAGATTAATACTAATAGATAAAAATTATCACGCATGTAAAGACAATTCTAATTGTAAGTTCTTATATTCTCTAAGTTAACATATTAGTTTTATAAAAATTTTTTAATATTTATCTGAAGAAATATTTGCATTTTAATGAGAGAACATTATTACTTTTTTAAAATTTTCTACTTCTCTGCTTTTTTTAAAAAAGTGTATCATTACATTTGCTCGTTAATTCTCTTATAATTAAACTTTTTGTTCAAAAAATTTCAGAATTTATAATTTTCTTATTTCTTTGTTAAGATTACATGAGTATATAATTTTTATCCATTATAATTGAATTATTATGCTTATATGTAATGATATATATATTATCTAATAACTAAAACCAACAAACATTCATTTTTATATTAATGATATATATATCCTTATGATATAACGATATATATATATCATTAATAGAAAAATGAATGTTTGTCGGTAGAAGTAGAAAGTACAATTTCATTAAATATCTTAATGAAATATGAAAAAAATCATGCTCTAACATGAATAATGCTAATAGCAAAAGATTTTAAAGCATGATTCTGTTTTAATACTAAGTAAACTGTTGAATATTATTCAAATAAAAGGAGTTTATCTACATAATTTTAAAAACATTACTACTACAGCATTTCATATATAGTAAAATTATATTAAATATAACCTTAGGAAAACACTAAGTATATTGATAATACATTTACAGCATAATCTTGCTAATCTGAACTAATTATTATATGATGACTGTTCAGATTAATGAATTGCATATAAAGAAATAAAAGTCAAAAAGTGCTATATCTAGACAAAAATATATAGGCTATCTAGAAAAACTTTTTATTAGATTTGGGACATACATTTATGTCAAACTGTGTAGTACATATAAATTTTGCAAATTATCAAGATTTTAAAAAATAATGTTTGACTTCTTGTTTTTGGCTGGAGCAACTAGCAGAAAAAGTTCAGACTAAATAGGAGTTTGGATTGGTGAGAAAGCAATGTATTCAAAAAAAACAAAAATGAAGAAGACTAATTTAAAAACCTTTTTTTATTACTATATATTTGAATTAAATTTATTTATTCAAAATAAGTTTACTTATTTCAAACTATTGTATTTAAAACTTGAAAAAATCAAGAATTAGAAGAATTTAAAAAGTTTAAGGCATACAGGTTTAATTGTTACTAGGCTTATATGCTACTTGTTAATGAACTACTTTATTTAAGACTACTTACAAGTCATTCAAATATGATGTCACCAATTTTAAATTCTTTTTGTCTACCTATCCCCTACCTGTCACATTTTGCACTGATATTTAGACATGCTGGTGTAACATTTGATCTGCCATCCACTTACATTAAAATCAAACATTTCTGTAAAACAGATCTACAGTACATTAATTTATTCATACTTCCTGTCAAGGTGAGGCTAATTTTAAAAAAAAGCAAAAGAAAAAAAAGAAAATTTACTGATTTACTGCAAAAGAGTCTGATAACATTCTACTAAGTAACTCTTAGACTAAAGATAATATATTATATACTGATTTATCTTTCAGTGGTATCTTTATCTATAATTTGTAAAGGTTAAATTGGCAGCATTATCCTTTCACATTAAAAGTTCTTCTGCACTACTTACAACAGAACACATTTAGTACAATGCTTCCGCTGAAGTTCAACTATTTAAATAAATAAGGACTTACGGTGTGACTACTGATCAAAATATTTCTGATAATAACTTTGGAAAAAAAAAGTTATTTCAAATAGGTAAATTTTTGAGTATCTTTAGGACATCATCTACTAACACTCTCCCATCCCATTACAAAATTTGTACATATCTTTCCCAAAGTGTAAACATCATATCTGAAAGACCCCTTATACAAATTTTGAAGTTTTACTAATTCTTTTAATTCTTTATCTCAAGTCAGTTACTTCAATTTATTAAAATTATTATACTTAGAATTATTGTACCTAAAATAAGAATAATTTGAAATTTTCACACAACTATAAAATTTCCCTTTTTTTAAAGGAAGTTTTATAGTTAAATTGATACTTTCATTTAAAATTATTTTTGTGATATAGTATTATGTAACTATGAAAATATATAAACATCAAGTTTCATTCATTTTTATGTTGAAAATAAACATATAAAATCATGAAGAGATATATTCTTTTGATTCAAATGTTTTCTTATTAATTAGTAAAAAATTAACAAACATACTGAAGTATCCATTGTATTAAAAATTATTTGAAATTCTTTTTAATAAATTATATGAAATTTTTTAAACTCTTAATAACAATAAACTAAATTTTATTATTATTTCTTACATATATTAATCATACATAAGAATTTTTTAGTTGATATCATTGTGTATTTGAAATTAATATTACTATAAAGTGTTATTTAATAATACAACAATCCTTTCTGTAACTGCACCAGCATTAAGTACAAAATATATCCATTTACTATGCAGTAAACATTTATTAATCTAATGTTTTTAATCTACTTTGATCTTGAAGATCTATTAAGGAAAATGTTAGATTAATTAGATTAATAAATATTTACTGCATAGTAAATAGTTATGTTTTGTGGTGTGAATATACAGTAGACTCTTAACTTGAAGTGGAAGAGCAAGAAATATTTTAGAATTAATAAAATTATGTTATAGAAACTAAAAGTATTTTAATGAGATAAATATACAATATAAACAATGTAGATAGACTTAATACATTATAGTAAAATCTTGATTTAACATTTTCCAAGGAACCAGTGAAAAAAAAAAGGGTACATCATAGACTATATAAAACCTAAATATCATCAAAAACATGCCAGAACACACAAATACACTAGGTGATCTGTTAACGAACATAATCTGTTCCAAGACTTTGTTCGTTATCCGAATTGTTCGTTAACCGATTATTGATTTACCATAGGTTTTAATGGGAATTTAATTAATTCATTCTGGAGACCCCCAAAAATAAAAAATATATATTTTCTTACTACGTTTATTTATATGTAATAATAAAAATACACACATACACAGTTTTGCAGTTTTATTAGTCATGTTTTTTCTGTTTGTGAGGGTTAAAGAATCTGTCTAATGTCGATTGCGTTTCTCTCTTCTTCATAAGTAATTAATAGCATTGCAATTGTAGAAATCCCCAAGCCTCAACCTGGTTTGGATGCTATTCTAAGACTGTTGTTCTGACATCCTCCCACTTCTTCAAAAGATCTTTAATAACAGATAGACATTAATCCTCTTTTTCAAAAGAAAACATATTTTGCCAAGTTTCTTGGTGTTCATCATTCAAGAGTTCTTGGCATTCTTCTGTCGTCAGATCCGTTTCAGGTTCCATTATGAACTCTTTGATGTTCTTTATTTCTCAGATGTGATTTT